GTCAGTCAGTCAGTAGGTCAGTCAGTCAGTAGGTCAGTCAGTCAGGTACGGTATAGTCAGGCAGACAGGCAGGCTTGGTCAGCTGGTCAGGCAAGCACTCAGTCACTCGCTCACTCAGGTTATTTATTCATCCAGTGAGACATTCATTCAGTGAGACATCCATTCTCTCAACCACAACAAAACAAGATTCTAACATACCGATGCCTCAGACATAAGTAAAGGATGTAGCACTGGATCAGACTTGAAGTTTTTCTTGTAAATGTAATCCAGCATCTTCTCAAACAGATCCCAATCTTCAACTGAAAGTAATTGAGTTAGTACAGTATAAGCACAGTTCTGTCAATTACAGAAGGAATAACTTATTATACTATGGGAATCACTAGAGTGGTAAAATGTCAGTTAAAAAGGTATCTCTTATGTAAAGAATGTAAACCAGAAAACTGTTTTATATTCCTTAAGCACTGTACTTCTGCTGTTTACAGTACAGCCCAGATGTTTGTCACCGTAACGCGCATGTCATGTACTATGTTAACAGGCAACACTCAAACTCCCATAGTCTGTCCATCTGCAATGTAGTCCACTCTAAAAACTCTACAAAATTACACACTGCCCAATAGCTCATAACTTCAGTCTGATTCCCAAGGGATCCGTAGTGCATTTGTTATTATGTAGTTAAATTTCATCATAGTATTATGTTATCATCAAGGCGCCGACACCAGACATCAAAACATGCCTCAACAGGCTCCTGCAACTTTCATCTGCTAAAAACTTTAACGTGTGTTGATTTGAACGGTTGTCTCACATTTAAAATTGACAAACCTTAACATTCTTAGCCAACAAACATACGAGTTTTTCAAGATCAAGAAAGAACATGTTTTGAAGTTTGGCATCCATGCTTTGATGCAAACTGCGGTATATACAGTCCTTCGACTAAACGTTGTCGTTGATCAGATCATCCCTACAGGCCTAGACGGAATAGGATAACGGGTAAATTACCCAGAACTTGCATCATCCAAACTGCTCGCCAGCGTTAAATCTTCGCCATATGCTTGAGGCATGGTTTTAGCAAATTAAATGGGATCGAAAACAGGGAGCTCAAGACATGTTAGATAACATATGCGGCAGCTAGTAACTGTGAATTAATTATCCTCATGATCCTTTTCTGTCTAGGCGCGTAGGGATAAAGCCGATCAAACGACAATGTTTAGTGAAAGGACTGTATAAGCATACTTACTCATCCCATCTTTAATGGGTGTCATAATTTCCATGTTTTCTTTAGGTACTGATATGGCATTGATGTCAATGTAATACTTTCTGGTATCTGGTTTCTTTGCTGGTTTTTATTTTGAGAGTTAAGAATTCCATAAAAAAATTAAAAATAATTTGAGATGAAGTACTATTTGTTGTTGGGTTTGGCAAA